GCGGATTGTTGAGCAGTACACACGCCCTTTGTTCGACAGCCAGCAGGATATCGCGTCTACGCCAGAGACGGCGTAAACTGGCATTTACGAAACTAGCTCTCTGTATTCGTACTGAGATTTCGTCGGACATCAACCCGTTTTCACTGGCTTATGGTACTTCACAAGTAAGTGAAGCGGTCAACGTGCTCTACCACTTCACTTCCTATTTCTAATCTAGGGGTCGATGTAGTCCAATCCTGCAGCATCATCTTACATTCCTCGCCTAGAAGGACTATATCGTCTGCGTATTCTAAGTCAACGAGATTATTCCCTGGTAGCAAGTCAATCCCTGAGTCACTGAAGTGTGTTAGGGTTAAGTCCATTAGTACGTCTGTGATGAAATTCAATAGGAATGTGGATAATGGGCATCCTTGACGGACGCCACTATTCGTCACCACTTCAGATGACAACTCGCCATAAGCCCTCACCTGGCTGATGGCATGAGTACGAGTAGAGTGCCTTACTCAGTGTAATGAATTTCTCGGGATTCCCTTTACAGTCAAGCATCGCCAGAGAACCTCTCGGTCGACAGAATCGAATTCCGTCTTTAGGTCAAGAAATATAGTGATTGTCGGACGCCGGTAGGAATGCCTTTGTTCTAGAATCTGTCGAAGGGTGAAGATATGATCAATACACCCTCTTCCTGGCCTAAAACCTACCTGGTTTTCTCGTGTTTGTGCCTCCCGAGCACCACTTAATCTGCGCAGTAATATTGAGCTCAAGTTTTATACTTTTATCAATAATTCATATTTTCGGTTTCAAAGTCGCTTATTGGTAACAGATTCAGAAAATTGAAACCAAATTAGATATCTCTGATTTTTCATAATCTCAAATGCAGTTGGAATCTCCACTGTGTGTCACCATTCGATTTGATGTCAGCCAACGCTTCTTATAGTCTCTGGCTTTTGGCATATGTTCGGAGAGGCGAATGGATGTCCACCTTTGCGTGGTTTTGATGTAGTAACCCTGGCACGTAACATTTAGAAATGATTTCTGATGGGTACTCGTCCCCTTTCGATTGACAAAATGCATGACACGTGATGCAGACGGGAAGAAGTTTATCTATTGTTACACTTAATATCTTGTCTATTCGATGTGGCAGATCATCTCCTCCGAAGATGAGCTGGATAAATATAGCTTTCTTGTGAACTACATTGCTATGAATGAATTTCAGTAAGCAGGTACTCCTCTAACTTCTTAGTCGCGCAAACTAAAGCCAGTTCCACATCAGTCAATCTGAAGTTGAACCTACAATTTCTGTGGTGGACATACACCGATAGTGTCACCTATGTCGTTTCTTGTGATTACTTCTGAATACCAACTTATGTTCCTGTCAATCTGTACTTGTGCGTGTCCTTCTAAATTATTCTTTGCATTGCGTGAGAAAATTTTCAAGAATATAAATAACAGTATGTTTGATTGGTTTTTTATATGAATTCCCAGTTGTCTATTAATAAGACTGTGTGATTCATAGAAAGTGGCTGTTCTGACAGAAAATTTTGTTGACTGTGTTATGCCTTCTTGTTTACCATGGCTTTTTTATGTTTTCGACATTCATTTCCACTCACATGCAGTTTAAATATGTTTCCCTGTACTCCTAGGCAACATTTTCAGTATTTCCTTCAATGTTCCTGGTCATCAAATCACACGTAGATGACTTATAATTATGTGGGACAGGCATCTTTATTACTTGACCGTCACAGTGTTATCCACCGTCATATCATTAAATTCAGCATAGAATATGAATATAACGATGAGTTCATTTCCCCGGTTCTTAATGTGAAAAGAAGAAACTATGGTACTGTCAAAAGTCCTTCTACAGAGAAGGAACCTTGGCCGGATATTATCTTCATTATAACAACTTCTGCCTTATAAATTATGAGAGTCATTTACAGGGAACATTGTACGACAGAGTCAGGAAGTTGTTTTCGCTCAATAAGGCGGAAGAAGAATAAAGATTTATTGAGAAATGCCTATGGGGAAGTGGATATCCAAGGGGATTCATCCTAAAGTATTGCAGAAAAGACTGACTCCACCGTCAGTATTTAAATTCCAAGGGAAGATATACAAAAAAACTGATGGAGTTGCCATGGGATCACGAATATCCCCGGTTGTAGCAGATATATTCATGGATAGTTGGGAAAACATAGCGATTGAAACGTTCAGTCCCACCCCAAAAGTATGTTGGAGGTATATAGATGAAACATTCACTGTACTTGGAACACAAGATTTCGATAGATTCTTTGAACACATCAACTCCAAGGTAGAGGCAATTCAATTCACTTATGAATTGGAAAGTCAGCAACGGCAGCTTCTAATGTTAGATTGCACGGTAAAAAGGAAAGAAGATGGGAAGTTAAACACTAGTATTTACAGGAAACCCACACACTCAAACAGATATTTAGACTTTCGATCATCCCATCCTATGTCAGTGAAAATAGGATTGGTGAAATGTTTAAGTGACAGAGCACAAAAATTATGTAGTACCAAAGAAAATCTAAGACAGGAAGTGATACACATAAAAGAAGCCTTGAAACTTAATAATTACCCGGATAAATTAGTCAGGAAATATGTAACCAAACGTAAAAATCAAATAAATAATGATAGTATCGATAGTGACAATAATAATATTAATGAAGACATGCATGTCAAATATGCGCAAGACAACATTAACAGTAAGGAATCTAAATCATCAGTAGTAATTCCATACAAGGAAGGAACCTCGGAAACCACCTTACGCAGAATTCTTAACAATGCTCGCAGGAATTAAAGTAGCTGGCATTCAAACTCCCCACAAACTCAATTAGAAACAAGCTTTGTCGGTTAGAGGATCAATCCTGTGGAGCCTTTGAAACAAAACAATTTAGTTTATCTAATACCTTGTTGGAATGATTGTCAGGTCAAATACATAGATCAAACTAGTAGAACAGGGGAAGTCAGACTAGCCGAACATAAAAACCTAGCAAAATCTAGATTGGCTGACCCAAATAAGATAAGAAATCTAGAGAATAGTGCAGCTATTCCACTCACTACATGCAATTACACACAACCATACAATAGGATGGATGGAATAAAATGACAATTTTGCAATCTAATGTCACACGGTGGAGGGAGGGAGAGATTGATAACAGAAGCTGTGTTTACCGATTCAACTGAGAGAGAGAATACGTGTAAATGCAATGATTCAAGACCTATCCACCCAGATATCTGGAAAATCCTACCACCCCAACGACGACAAATAGGAGAGAACAAAGAAAACTAAAAAACTCAAGTTTCGAAGTCGTGTGATTACAATTGATGAATTGATTATGAACCACAATAAATTTTGTTCGAAACATTGTTATCCAGTAAATAATACTGTTCCTTCACTGTGTGATACGTCTAATAAACAAAGTAATGTGGAATTACCATACTGATAGCAATTCCCACTGCATTTGTGAATTTACGTGCAATGGAGGTGGCACATGAATCTTATATTCTATTGTAAATCTATTTAAGTATATTATAAGCATGATCAAAAAATGAAAACAAGATTTTTCGGAATGTTTAACTGTGCAAGTCGCCTCTTCTTCAGTGAAATTACTCGGATTTCGCCCAACGAGTTCACTTTCAATTATGCACTCCCAATAGTGACTGAGTGACTGTACTACTAAAAACTTTTGCACCTTTCAAAATTGCACAATTTCCTTGGAATATGCATGATTATGCGGTCATAAAACATTTTTTTCTGTTTGTCCAATGCACGTATGTACTTGGTGACATACGCGTAAATGAGTAATAATGTGGTTAGAGGAGGCAGAACGGAAGGGGAACTTGTCAACCTTAGATTGTCTCATTGAGAAATTTATTTGATAAAATTCGGTATTCAATTCTCCCAGATAATTCATCAAAACCGAGAACTCTTACACTGTGACACTGTGATACATATTTTATTGCTTATTTCGCCTATCTAATAATGTATGATTTCTATCCCTGTTGCTCGAATATTCTTGTGACTTTTCCATATGTATGAATAAACCGCAACCAGGCATTAATACGAAGCAAAACAAGCAGTTCAGTGCAGGAAACACCCTTTTTGGCGGATTCACTTTCTTTGGCTGTACAATCGCCCTCATTTGTATCCAACCTCTTCGTCACAATAAAGAGTAGTAGCAGAAGGGATGAGTGGTTACAGTTGTTAATATTATTGATCAACGCATAAAAGAAGTCGAATAAATGTGGGATGGATAAATGTAATGGGATAATGAATGAGTTGTATTGACAAGAAGCATAGAAACGAAGGGGAATGTGATAGGAAGTAACAGTTCGCAAGAAACAGAAGAGTTGGAAGGAGTTAGGAACAACCAACTCCCGGACAGTGCGTCGGTGGTGCAATGGTTAGCACACTCACTGGTCATGCACATGGTCCGGGGTTCGATTATTGCAGCAGCGTTGCATTCATTTATCTCCCTAAGCCAAGAATAATGCTGGTGAAGAGGAGAGGTTGGGCATGAGGCTAGCAATCCCATCCTGTAAGAATAAGCACTGCTACAGGAACATTTAGCCACTAGCTTGAAGCCCTATATTCCACTGGGAAACGTCAAGGAAAAGGAAACTTCCAGACACCTGTAGTTACTTCCTTTCAACTTCTCGGGTATTCAGATAAGTAAGACAGAATAATGTTCTCCACCTTCGAATTAACTATTTCAAGTATTTTACGAGTTGATCACGGACTGATATCAGTTAGAGAACCATTGAAAACCAAGGAGTACTGGACAGCTGGTTTTCAATGTTTCTCTAACTGATATCAGTCCGTGATCAACTCGTAAAACATAACTAATCCTTACAAACCAAACTATAGAAGTAACTAACTTACTCATAAATACATTCTGTGGACTATATACTTCTTTATTTCTACTATCATTTTATCAATAATAAATTAACACAGGTTTGGTTATGAAAATGCAATTTTCCTCGGTGGAATGTCATTCGATATTAAAAGATTAAAACAAAAATCTGAAAAATCTATTGAACTATTGAATCATTTAACTCAGAAGTCTGTAAATCTGCTGGATACATCAGTTTCTCGGGAGTTCTATCTACAGAAAAGAGACTTAGATTATATTTCAAGTGAAAGATCATCGATCAGTCTACCGTCAGTTATAAATATTGACGATTTTTCAAAACCTCAGTGGTATTATTTACTTGGAAAAAGTTCTTGTTATCGTCGACATATGTCAGTTGTTCTAGCAGCAAGTTTGTCTAAGGGTAGTGAGTCAGAGAAGCTGTCATTCCTTGCCTCATCCAATTCGCATACGGAATCACTGACATCTGAAATGAATAAAGTTATGAATCCGTCTGCTAGTGTTTCGACAATATCTTCTTTACATGGATGCGATAATCGAGACTCTGGACTATGTCATTCAGGAGATTTAAAGAGACTCCAGGTGAGTATATTGTTCATATTAATTGAATTCATCTGATTATCTTTTTGGCCATGTGGCTCACTAGCGCTTGGTTTTCAGCCATGTTCGAACCCCACCCACTCTACCTGGACACTTAGGCAGTATCACCAACTTTCCTGCAGTAAAAAGTGTGACTCACAGCCCGGAATATGAAAAGACCAGTTTCGGGAACTGAGTTTGAAATTCTTCCACTTTATTTACTTTACAAACACAGTATTATTACTTTTATTTATCCTTCACTTTGTGAGTGAAACTTGGAGCTCCAGCATCGCATCGTCATGGCACTTGACCTTCTATCATCAATTTTAACCAGCTTCACGGCTGCCCACAAAAGTAATGTCTACTCTACAGACGTCTTGCTCTGTCTGTTATCTTCGGATGTTCAACTTGTTGCTTCCTAATTTGGTTCCAACTTAAAGCCTTGTCTGTGATATCACATGAAGATGTCTTCAGCCTATTTCCTATCCATCTCAATTTCTTTCTGCATTTGTGTTAGATACCTCTGTCGGTGGCACAGTGGTTAGGACTGTCGCCGACCAAGCACATGATCCGGGTTCGATGCCCTGCTGACGCACACCTGATATCAATGGTTGGCCTACAAAATTTGGGATACCGATATCACATGCTGAAAATTTCATACTTGTACCAAAAATACTGTGTGGAATCAAGCTATAATCAAAATTTTTTTTAAAAACTAATAAGCTCTTGATTAATTCGCTGCCAGAATTCTTTTGGTCATCCGGTCTTCAGTATCGATATTATATGTTTATTTAAACGCAGAAAAACTTGGTACAATATGGCACCAAGAAAGATGCGCCACAGAATATTGTGTGAGGGCTGAGATACTGCCCGGGCGCCCAGACCGAAGCAGGTGGTTTTCCTAAGGGACCACCCCCGAGCCTTTGACTTGGAGTCTAATCCGCAAGGCAGCGGAGCAGCGTCAGGAGCTGCGTTCCCATGGCTGCCGGTGACCCATATGGGTTCATACGCCATTTGATCCGATTGAATTCTTGAGCCCATGCACTCCATGGTAACTGCTTTCAGTCTAACCGCTATCCAAACAACCTTCCTGACATGGTAGGACCTGCAGGGACATGAGTCCCAGCCAGTTTAGCTTGTTGGTTCACTGCGGCATTCAAGCCCGACCACCACGGTAAGGTAGCAGTTATCGGTCGGGGTTCAGTATCGAAGCAGCGAAGGTAGATGTTGGTGAGAGTGCTCACTAGCTTGCAGGAAACCCTCTTAATGAACCACGTGGAAGCACTGATTTGACATTTGTGTCAAAGACTTACATCTCGTTTCTTGCGCTTATTGTTATGTTTCTCCACGCCGATTTCAACGTACCAAACGTAAGTATCTTAGATAGATCATCTACGCCATTAATATCAAAGGTAGTTATTTTCTACAGCTCCACTGATCGATTGTCACATTGTAATTTTGAGGCTATTTATTTGAATCTCACCGCAGCTTCGATTTCAGCAGTCACTTCACAGTTCTAAATTAGTCTTCAACAAGCATTTTAACTCCACTAATCTATCCTCACTATCAAATATTTTCTGTGCATTTTTGTACTTTGCCTCAAATTACAGATAACTATCCCCAAGTCGGATTCAGGTTATGGTTTCACACTGACTGCTCAAATGGCAGGATTCAATCTTCAGCAGTTTGCAAGTACACCACTAACATCACCGACAACGAATCAAACAACATTGTTTAGTGAAAACAATAACAGCCTACCAATGCAGAGATTATTTCGTATTCATTCCGTAAGAAAAAATTCACCAGCTGATCTAGCTGGCTTACCAGTTGGTGCTTATCTCCTGGGGATTGGAAATCAACCTTTGGATTGTACAATTACACTGAAAGAAGTTGTCAGATGGATGTATGAAGCTGCAGAAAGTCATCCAGATAAAGCGGTAATTCTAGACATTGGAGTACCTAGTTGTCAAACAGAATTACCATGTAAGTTATATATATATGAGTGAAATGTGAGGAGAAGTTTAATTACTTTAATGCGAATACATTTTATCTTCAGAAGACTTTTGAAATAAACACTATACTAAATAGATTTATGTACTAGACGCATGTGGAAATATGTTCTGGTGTAGTAAAATTCCCAAACACTTAACTTATAGGTTTTAAATGCCTACTAATATTGATGCTAGTCACTTTCTTACGAACATAATACTCCGGGATGTGACTTTGCATTTGCTTTTTCATGTTGTCCCAGTTTAATAATATTTCCACTAGATAGACATTCCTAGAAGCTTTAATCAAACGTTAATGTATCTGTGAAGTGGTGCGTTGGCATTGAGGGAGTTGACGAAGATGCTGTAGGATGCTTGCCAACTATGCACACGACTCAAGGTTCCATTCTCGACTGGTGTACTCATTGACGGTTTAGGCGGCAGTAATCGCAGTAAAGATGGAAGGTTGGGCGTGTGAGACTAGCACCCTCACTCCCTAAAAAACCATCACTGCTATTGAGACTTCAGAGCTCCACCTTCAGGTCCTATGTCCCACTTGGAACGCAAAGGAATTCATGTGGCCTATTCTCGCTTAGGAGAACCATGTTCTCGACTAGACTATACATGTAAACATATCAGTCTTATTTAGCCTGGTAAGATGACATTTATTGCAAACTAGTTTAAACGGGGATTAACTGCTTTAGCGGAATTCTACGATATATTCCAGGTTATATGTACTGCTCCTATTTTCATTGCCCTGGAGATTGTTTATTATTACTTTTTATTATAACCCCTTGTGTCCGCCCTTATGCTTCGAATTTCCAGTAAAAGTGGTGTTCATTTATTTTAGCGGGGTAGGGTTGCTAGTTTTGCATCCGACTTCCCTTCTCTACTGTGAGTATAAAGTGGGTTAAGCAAAGTTAAGGAGAATGTCGGATGGGAGTCGAATCCCGGACCACGTGGTTGGTTGACGAGTATTCTAATACAGGACCACCGATGCACAGCACTGGAGATCCATCCTCATAAATTGTAAAGTAATGAACCACTCTGACTTTGAAGTCTTGTTTTATGGAGAAAGCGTTTTCAATCTAGCGGGTCTATTCACAGTGATTTACTACTCCTAAGTCGATTATTCCAGTGCGTCGGTGGCGTAGCGGTTAGAACGCTCGCCGACCATGCACATGGTTCGGGGTTCAATCCCCGGCCGAACAGCGATCATGCACAACAGATTCTGTCTCTCCTGTCACTTCATCGGCTTCTTCGATTTTCCCTGCCTTCTCAACCAATCTGATTGTAGATCATCTGTCGAAATATTTGCCACTGAATCTTTCCATCATTCCTATTACCACCACTATTATTATTATTATTATTGGTACTACCGCTACTATCACTTCATGATTTATAATTTTCTTCAAAATTAGATAAGATTTTTTTCTATTTATTCCTTTACTTACTTAACCTTACTTCACAAGAACTGACCATGTGACCGGTTTCACTCCCTTCATTAATCAGTCAGCAAGCAACAGTGCGCTTTTTACACTTCACTTATACACCAGCATAAAGCTGAACACAGATGTGAAAAGTCAAGTTCGAGTTCTTATATAAACACTGTAATTAGAAGTGTGCTGTATACTTTATTTCATTATAATTAACATACTTTTAAAATGATAAGTTTGTTTGCATAAAGAATACACTGGGAAACTGAACTTACCTCTTTGTTCCTCCTCTTATTAGAATGATGATAGCACTATCGCTCTGGGGTAGTTTATTTCACACCTCCATGTTAACTAGGCCGACGCACTCCTTTACCTCGCTAAGCCAGAAATAATGCTGGTGAAGAGGAAAGGTTGAGCATGAGGCTAGCAACCCCATCCTGTAAAAATAAACACTGCTACAGAAACTTCAAGCCACTAGCTTGAAGCCCTATGTTCCACTGTGGAATGTGAAGGAAAGAAAAAGAAAAAAAGAAAAGTCGATTATTCCAGTGTGGTAGAGATGTATAGGGTTATATCTCAATTTAGTAATATACCAAGTTGATAGGTGATTCTAGATTATATATACATATATTTGATGTATTTCTATGTTTTAAATTTGTGTCTTTGCAGCTCAGAATAATTCTAAGCTAAGATTTAGTGAAAAATTCAAATTTATGGTCTCTTCTGGTAGACACAATCAAGTAAAGGAGAAACCAGATATGAATAATAACAATAATTATAATAATACTTGTTTAAATGACAACACGAACTCTGTCAACAGTCATAACAACTCATATCCTTTATCCAATGGCCAGTGTACAACAGTTAAACAGTCAATAACAGAATCAGTCGATACAGGAAATACATCCAGTAATCCATATCTTCCTCGAACAGTTACTCCTGCCAGTACAGTTATGCTATGCGAAGAACGTTGTATTGATGAAGATCTTATGAATGATGAAACTATCAGTAATCTACAAAATAGAAACGAAAGTAGCAGTTTGAGTAGACGCCGACGTATGCTAACACTGGCGCCACCAATACTCAAACTTAAATGGCAAGATGTTTGTTTGGATGAAGCGAATCGACAGTGGGCAGTTGAAAGATTATTAACTAAACTGACAAATACATCAAATGACTTAATGAATGGCATAAAAGCTTATCGTACTGGTCTACAGAATATTGCCAACTTTCATCCAGATGATTTAAATGCATTGTTTCATAATATTGTTGAAGTGAGTCAACTTAGTTGTTACGTAACTATTATACTATTATTATTATTATTCCCTTGGGTCCCGAGTGGAACACAGGGGCTTCAGCAGCACATCTCCATTTGCCCTCTTTTCTCTGTTCTTTCTTGGCTGGCTACAGGTAGTACGTACTCGGTTGTTTTTTTCCTTAAGCTGAAAAGTTCTGCGTCCTTCTGAAAGGCATTTTGAGCGTTAACTTCAGTGTGGAGTGAGCTTTATGAATTCTGCACACCACCCGAGGTCACTAGGCTAGACGAACATTTCATCCGTAGATAATTTTCAAAAGATTCACTTCACATTAAAGTTATCCCTGTAGGCGACCAGAGAGGAGAAAATGAAAGCTTGTCAGTTAAACCATCCAGGTCAGAAAATACAACAATACTTCTTGTTTCACTAAAAATAGGATTTATTTATTTATTTAAAACACCAACATGATACACATCATGGCCACCAAGAGAGATGTGCCACACCGAAATAACAAATCTAAGATATATACAAAGAAGCAAGGGATAGAATGACTGATGGAGGTCATCCAGAAAGCAAGCTAGGGTATTTATCAAGAACATTCACCACTCACTGCTGCACAGTGCCTTCAGAAAGGGAAGAAAGAAGTTAACTGCAGACAGTTCGTCACTGATTGCAATTCTTGTCGACATCTGACAAGGTTTGTAGCCAGCGATTTGAACTATCTCTTGGATTGCAATAGGGAGTCGTGACGTACCACTTGATACTAACCTAGACGAAATATCCTTCATCCCACGACTACATGTTATAAGCTGACCACCTCTGTGCAAATAGTGACCAGTACGGGAACTTCTGGAATGATATTTGTGGTACATGTGTAATCAGTCGAAGCATGTGTTTCAAGATGACTACACCCAATGAATGGTGACCTCCACTGTGTCCAAACACACGCTTCCAGACCTCATAATTACTTACATGATGATGCCATCGTATGCAAGCAGTTCTACGGCGACACTGATGATCGAGGATGCAGAGTCGCTGCACAAATATGATTTATTGTTTAAGCTATTCAGCTTTTAGTTAGTACTGACATTTATTTGTAATTGTGAATAGACTAACCCCAGGTTCATGGACAAAACGGTAAGGAATGATGTTAGTATCTGATTGTTTTAACTTCGGTATAAGTTTAGATTCCAACATAAGGAGGTTGAAAATCGCTCGCTTGGACTATTTTGCTATAGCTTCTTGTACATAACAGCTAGTGAGTAATAACTATGAGGTAGGCAACTACGACCGTTGATTATCTCATATAAAAACTGCTAAATGTTGTGTGGAAAACAAAATTCGACTGGATCATTTAGTTGTACTCTAATTATTAGCATTAATCTTTTTGTGTGATTGGTGAGCTGTATTTTACTTCTCACCTACCTGGGAAGCATCGTTTCAACTACAGGCGGAACTGACGAGAATATCAAAGCAAGAATCGGAAAAGCAAGACAAGCTTTCACTACTCTCAAGTCTGTGTGGAGGAGGTCAACAGCATTCAGCATGAAAACGAAGATAAGATCCGGATTTTCAACTCCAATGTGAAGTCAGTGCTACTCACGATACGGATCAGAGACTTGCACTGTGCGTCATAAAGAGCATCTCTAAACAAACTACAGACCTTCATTAACAGTTGTCTTCGCTCAATACCACTCAAGATCAGATGGCCGGCCAGAAAAGATCAGCAACAAGGAGGGATCTCTGGCAATGAGCGAACCAACTCAGCAGGAACTGATTGTGAAACAAATAGGCAGGAAGAAATGGAGATGGATTGGCTGGCCATACTCTGAGAAAAGAAACCATCAAATGACATCACACGACAGGCGATTGCTCGATTGGAACCCGAATGAAAGGGAAGCGGCGAGTTGGTCGTCAGTGCGAGGTTGGGTGACTTGGAGGAGATCAAGTGAAGATGAGATGAAAGCGTGTGGTCAGACTTGGAGCCAGGTGAAGACTCTAGCAGAGAACCGAACGCAATGGAGACGCACGGCTGAAGCCCTATGTTCCTCTAGGAATTTAAGGAAACAATAATAATAATAATTTTACTTCTCATGTTTGTGAATGTTTTGAGCCTTAAATTTTGTAAACAGATTTGTATATTCAGAGGATGAAAACTATTATACTTATATCGAAACCAGAGCGAACATTTCTAGACAACTGACAGTAAATTGTACAGTAAATAATGATCTCTTGTATTTATTTATTGATTTCACTTGTGCTTAGATTGGCTCTGAAACGTGTAAAATGAAACAAAATCTGCAAAATGGTTGTCTGCCGTACGATGTTTCAACTATAACCTCGTCTTCATCAGATCCACCTGCTAGACAGTATGCAATCAATAATAATAAGAGCAAATCAAGATTTTCAATATCTTCAACACCATCTCCATTATTGCCTCTACGGAATGATTCTTACAGAGGGAACAATACTAATACTCTTACCAATAATAATAATAATAACAATAATAATACTAGTTTACTTAATGGGAAAGATAAACTTGATGAATATAGAAGGAATAGCAGTGGTACTATTACGAATTCTAAGAATAACAGTCATACTACACAAAACGGTGGTATACACAAACGACTGTCGTTTTTGTTTAAATTACGTAAAAGTACCGTTAATCGAGAAAGCAAACCAAATGATGGCGACGACAATATTAATAACAATAATAATAATAAAGCAAGGCAGCTATCAGAGGGTTTCAAAAGTGACACCAGTGCTACTGAACAGCTTTGTCAGCAAGACGAACCAAGGAAGCAAACGATGATTACACAACAAGATCCATCATCATGTAATCATCAATTGAACCCATTGAATCCACCTATACATGGTCATTTGGATAATCCTGGTACAATTATTTTAATGTCTCTCAGTGATCTGTTACACCAGTGTATGGATTATACAAATGTTTATCCGGATCGTTTGAAGTATATTCATCAACTTAGAAAACACTTTCCAGAGTTACGATTATTTCTCAAGGTTAGTAATACCGTATTTTTTTTCTGCGGGGGGGGTGCTAGGGGGATAGAGATTAGCTTTGATTGAAGTATTTACTGTTGTAGATACTACCTGCAATTTTGTTCACTAGGATAAAAAATTCGGCAAAGTTAAACTTTCAACACCAGTAACAACCAATCAGCAAACGACCTTGAACCGACCAATCACATGAAAGAGGCGTTTATGATAAGCGGAAACGTATGTTTATAGAAAAATGCATAAAAAGTGATAAAACGGTTACAATGGGTATCTTTTCCGAACATGGGGGAGAAACATTTCCTAATTCAGCATGGGACTGTCAATAGAGAGGTCGCACCACATTCTATACATTTATTAATCTAAATGACTATAAATGAGATCCTTTTGAGATCCATTTATAGCCCTTATCCTATTTTTCAATCGACCCCAAAATCGTTCACCAACACTGTCTAATCCACATGGACTATTACGTCGTCCCCGCCTAGCAACGAAGTAATTCTGTCCATTTTCCATTAGGCGATGTCCCTGCAGTGCTGGTATACCACTGAACTGTCGAGACGGAGGCTGTTCTCCGTCTCGGCAGCAGTACCCAGTAAATGAAAATGGGTGACTCTAAACTTTAGGAACCCAAACGAACGAACGGACAAATAACCTTGACAAGGACAATTTTAACCAATCAGAAGGCTTAAAATGAACGGCGCATAATTTTAATAAATCGTTTATATACCAGTAAAGCAATGTTAAAAAATAGTTACAAAGGGTAGCGTTCTCGTATATGTTGCAAAAAAAGTCCCAATTAGACATAGGAGTCTTTAAAGTCATGTTAAACCAAGTCCTATACATGAACTCGTCGAGATAACTGTAAATCATTGGATTTCTTGATCCGTTCACCGATCTTATCCGTTTTTTGAGATGACTCCAGAAACTTTCAATGGAATTAGTATGAGTTCCATTGAAAGGATTTATAAATCCGGTTGTATGGTTGACAACCTCATGAATATAGCCGAGATTTGATAATTGGCTGTAACTACTCCACTCATCCGTATGTATTGTTGTTCCCGGTAGCACTAAACGTTGGATAATGGGCTTGGATAATGGATTTTCTGCATCTGCACTCCCTGCAACGGTAAACATAACCATCTATGGATTTCGTGTATCTTTGTATATGCATAACACCTCCGCACTGGCAAGTTTTAGATCTAGCTATCAGCCCGTTCTCTAAACAGTAATCAAAAACAAATTCTGGAGCGAATTTGCACCGCAAACGATGTACAGCATCCATTGCGAGTAAGATGATTGCCTGTTCAAGGTCATTTATCACGGTCATCCGTTTTCAAGGTTGTTTTGGGTTCCTAAAGTTTAGAGTCACCTGAAAATGTACAGAATATGGGCTAGGGAGAGATGCGACCTAGCAAAATTTCCCATGAAATATTACCCTCTCTAATACTAACTCGCTACCAGCATATTCCACAACGATGTACAAAACCATCAGTTGACCTAGTATAGCTTTTTAGAGTCATTACACCACCACACGAACAACTTCTCTCTATTCGAAGCAAGCCTAAGTCCAGGCAATACTGAAAGACACTATCCTCCTAGAATTGCAAACGTAACCGTGTAAGGGCACGCATTGAAATGAATCAGGCGCTATACAACATTGAACTACGTTCGTGAATCTCATTGGATAATTTGATGTCGTTCGCTGATTGGTAGTTATTGGTGTCTAAAGTTTAACTTGGCCGAAAAGGCTTTTCTGCTTTTCTGCTAAGGTATAAACGCAATAATTGATTTTGAAAGTACAGTTCATGTGTAGGAATTCAAAGAGACAGTATGTCATACTTCTTTTGACTATGAGTTCGAGGAGAAACTTTAGCATGTATCTGTTTTTTTTTCATGTTATCTGTCTTTGTGATTTATTTGAAACGTTATTTCTAATTTATATTTAACTTGGTGACTCTGACAATTAGTACAACACTGATCGAACAGGGCAAGTCAGTTGTTGATATTATTGAAATGCAAAAAAAATCTTCTCTGGTCATATAACATCCCTCATCACACAATGGTATATAAGTTAGGTGTAGTGTGCTAGTAGATTCAAGAGACTTGAAACGATAACTCCAATGGTTAAAGTATTTGCCTATGGTATTTCTATTGGCACTGTATATTAAGAGAAGGCAGAAATTTGATTTCATGGGTCTGAGAACTTTATCCCAGAGTGATTGGATAGTCAACGGTCAAACTTTGTAACGTAATGCCCCTGGGTGCATGTTTCTGAAAAGTCCTAATCTACAGCGAAACAGATGTCTAGAACTCTCTTAGTCTCAGGTGTCAAATCTCTGTGAACCAACTCTTGAGAATATGAAACAATAATCTTGCTGACAGGTCAGACTCGTACCTCACTAGTTAATAGTGCTCCGGCCTAGTAATCCAACAGTCATCACCAATCATATCATTGGCGGTCTACCACCCTAAAGCTGTATGCAAAATAGTTTTACCATCAGTTTATTTTTTACATTAAATCGTTTTGAATTAATTGATTATTCTAGCAATTGTGTAACTGTAAAGTAGTAGCCAATGATTGTCATGATTTTCATCTTGGACATGATCGGAAATTCTTTATTCTCTGAAATTGTTGGTCAGCTATATTCAATATATATAAATATATATATATGGATATATATATATATAGGGTGCAACAGGTTGAAGGTAAAGCAGTAACTCATCTAAGAAGACATTGCGAAGTAGTCGCGCTATGTCATGAATTGGCAGAAGTTAGAATTCACGGGCCATTGGGTCACGTCCCAGTGGCTTAATGGTCAACGAGTTCACCTTGTAACCAGAAAGTGCTGGGTTTGAACCCCAGCTGGTGTGTACTGCTGAAGAGTCCCAAACCAGAACGAAACAGTCGTCCAGTACTCCCCAGGTTTTTCAATGGTTCTCCAACTTATATCAGCTCATGATGAAATCATCCAACACATCAAACAAAATCCCTACAAAACCAGGACTTGAAAATATTTATATCTACCAATAGATTATCGATCTGAAATTATTGATTATTGTTTATTATCTTTGAAGAGTTCGCCCTTAAGGATACTGACTCTATTTTGACCACGTATTTAGTCGGGTGTCCGAAGAATCTTAAAAATGCCTTTTATAGGTTTGAAATATTTTTCCTAGTACACTTCACTAGTTACTTGTCTTCATTTTCTTCAAATAACTAACAAATGCTTAATTGAATTTTAGATTTTCCCGTCGATCGATTGGACCGAAGTGCTCGGCCTCAGCAATTTCGTCCAGTCAATCGACGGGAAAATGTAAAATTCATTTAAATAATTAATTTGACCCGTTGCACAAGAGGTGGCTCTCGTGGCCCAAGTGGTCTATTGGGTAACACTTTGGCGTTTCAAACTAAGGGCACTGGGTTCCAGCCTCTGTGCGAGCATCATCACTCACTGGGGAATTCTGTCTGTCTGTCTGGATTCAACATAGAACTTGGCACCGAAGTGCAGCAGTTCGAGTTGCCACGTTCCAAATAGCACACAAGGAAGACAAGAAGATGAGTAAAGAGAATCAATAGAGTTTTGACAAGTATAAGAGTGAAACAGAATGAGTAATGGTAGAAAGGAGTATGAAGGTTAAAGAGACTGAATACATCTGCGCCATTGACAACGATTTTGAGCCATGTCACTGGGGAATTCAGATACATCCACTAGCTGACGAGTCCGAAACAGGACGAAATGAGCATCCTGGATTCCACTGCTAGTCACCATACACCAATTAAACTAACAAATGCTTTCCTCAGGTCTTGACACAGCAAGTCATCAAGACATGACACATATTTCAGCAGGATAAGCAACACCGAAGGTGAAGTGGATTCTCCTCGAAGCCAGGGTTGACCTATTTCACGAGGTTACAGAGTTAGGATTTACGGGTCATTGAATTCTCCAGCTCAAGTGGCTGAATAGTGAACGAGCTTGGTCTTTTACCTTGGAGGTCTAGGGTTCGATCCCTCTCGTGGTCGTGGATGCAGACCACAGAAGGGTCCGAAATTAAGACGAATAGCTCTCCAGTGCTACCTGGTTTTCAGTGATCTGTCTAACCGTTATTGGTTCGTGGAGAAATCCGACAACTGAAATTAAAAGACATTAATACAGAAGAACTTTTTTTACAAACCCCAATCCGTCGGATAGGGTTTTATAGATCAGGTGTCTAAGTGACTACCGGAATGAATAGACATATCCCCCAGAATTAAAAACAGTAGCTACCATCCTCTAGATTTATAACTTTTTTATTATTGAAAACTAACTCAGAACTTTTATTTTTGTGAGAAATGAGGAACATATCTCAAGAAACAATCAACACAAATATCCTAAAGAGCTGATCACCCAAAGACATTAAGTAATAACCAGTCTTGAAGGCCGATTATCTATCAACAGAAATATACAGAATAGAGCCGGTGAGCAGTTTCACAGAATAAAGTATTCCCTATCAAATCAAAGATGAACATCATGACTAGAATAATTAATTGATTAATTCAAAGTAATCTGGGATTAAGCGTCGGTGGCACAGCGTAGAATGCTCGCCAACCACGCATGTGGTCCAGGGTTCAATTCCCGGCCACAGAAGTACGCCTTTACCTCGCCAAGTCATTAATAAATAAGACCGGTAAAGAGGAAAGGCTGGGCATGAGGTTAGCAACCCCATCCCGTAAGAATAACCGCCACTGCTACTGAAACTTCAAGCCTCTAGCTTGAAGCCCTATGTTCCACTGGGGGAACGTAAAGGAATTAAAAAACGAATCTAAGATTAATAATTAGATCACTAACAAAATGGCGTAGTAAGTGAATTCGGCCATTGTGCGGTGGGGTTTAATTCTATCATACAAAGCTGGAATTCCTAACACAGTTTCTCACCAATATAATTTCCATAACTATGATTGTGGAATATAGCGGCGTCGCTTATCTCCAGTGGTAGAATACTTGCAAAACCATAGAATTGATCCGCGGTTGAATTCCCGGTCGACTCACTCACTCACTCCTTAACCTCGCCTGGCTGGTGACAGGCACGGTAAAGTGAGGGAAGTTTAGGCGTTAGTCTAGAAAAAATAAACACCACTGCTACTGATACTGCATAGCTCAAGCCTAAAGCCCTACGCATAAGACTAAAATGAATTATAAAAATAACATATCAGCTAGGAACATAGATTATCAGATTACAGACTGGTCATCCTAAGTTTAACTTTACCCACCCACATAAATGGGCACTACTGTGAGTTTCAGACATACAGGCTACTGCATCCTAGTTTTCACGCAGTTTCTAGAATTTCATGTCGCCTAGAGTTGATTCTTCGATGCACAGTACACTGAAACTAAACAGCTCTTCACAGAAACCAAATTCGAATTTCCGCCAGTGTTTACTTTCATTTGTATTTTTAAAATTGTTTTTATCTTTATTTATAGAGTCAAGCGATGCAACCAGATGTCCCTATTCTATCATTATTTCTTACTTTACCGTTAGAGGTATGTTGATATCTTCTAGTATGTTTAATTTGTTATGAAATTGTATTGTATTCAGATTTCAAGTAGTCAGCTACCGGTTCACACTGTCGACATACTTCACCACTTTTTTCTGCTTTCAAATAGCATTACGGGCTGTTATATGCTAGGTGTGACCTATAACTCGATAAAATAAGATCATATCCATTTTGCTTCAGTGAATTTTTATTTCGTGCTTCTCATATGATGTCTTCCTTAATTTCGCACTCCCGATTTGACTGGTTTCAAAGTAGACTTCATCAAGGAAAGAAACCACCTTGTAGCAATGGTTGACTTCTTTTTCTCTGGTGTGGAATTCATTAGAAATGCTTACCCACAACTGCATGCAAGCGTCGAACAAAACACCGTTAACTCTTTCTGCAAGCATGTTGCCTTTCAGCGGTAAATAAATATCATTCTACTGTTCCACCACTGTTCTACTGGTATTGAGACTCCTGTCTGGACTGGATGTTACCATGAGAAGTAGGGACTATTGAATTTCATACACGGTCTTGAGTGTAGAAACCTACTCTCCAACAACAACACTGAACACTGGCTGCTCTGTGTTGCTTATTGACAAAAGTTGGAGATGAGTTATTTTTTTAAAATCGTGTAGTCACCGGTCTACCTAATGGTCCTGGTTTCTGTATAGAGAACGAGGTCGGTTTAGTGTGTAATCCCTGCTGCTGCTGCTGCTGCTGACTTCTGTAGTGGGATGAAACAAGTGCTTGGTTCCCTTTTTGTTATTCAATTGTTCTTTAAACGAGGCTGATTATTGACAATTTATATTAATTAAGAAAACTCATTAAACCTCCTTTTTCATCTTTTACAGATTCCGAGATATTTGTTATCGGAATTAAAAAACATTGAGAAATATACAAGTGGTCAACATAAAGATAGACCAGCTCTTGAAAAATGCATTCAAGGTAAATTTTTGCATTACTCTTCAAGCCACATGTCTTTTCTTGTCACAATGTCAGTTTATTCCTTTACATTCCCAATGGAAGATAGGGCTTCAGGCTAGAGGCTTGAAGCTTCGGTAGCATTGTTGTCTATTTTTATGGAATGCGGTTGCTAGCGAATGCCCAACATTTCCCCTTTACTAACTAGTCTTATTACTTGCTTAGTGAGGTAAAGAAGTGAGCCGGTGGGGGATCGAACCCTGGACCACATGAGCGGTTGACGAGCATTCTACCCCCGTGCCATCGATGTACCTTGTCACAATGACGAATACATTACTGTTATGAGTGACAGCTGAAGGTGAATGGGCAATCTGCGTCTCGGCCAGGATTCGAACTATGCGCCCCCGGGATCACTAATCCATCCAAGATAACTCTAGATGGTTTCACCATAGAATACACCATTGTTTCGTCTTTCCTATTACCCAATCTATTTCTGACTGATTAAATTTGCTAGAGCTTGATATCTATATGATACATTTCATATTCCAAATATTTTTATCCTGGATTTCATTTGTATAATTACCACATAACTGAGTCATTGGTTCAGGAGTAGAATGCCTGCCAGACAAGAACATAGTCCTGTTCTTGTTCCCAACCGACGCCCTCTTAAACCTCGTTTAGCCAGTAGTAAGCCGGGCAAAGAGGGAAAGTTGAGCGTGAAGTGGTTAGCAACGCAACGCTACCTCGGAAGAACACAACACCTTGGAAGCTTAAGCTTGAAGTCCACTTTCCACTCAGAATGCAAAGGAAAGAAGAAAAAAATATACCACATAATATATATTACACAAAATTTGCATTTAACAGTGAATTCAACAGTCATTCACATAGATTTTTAGGGAAATGCAGACCTGTTTAACAACTGGAATAGTTTGCCTGTACTTGTTCAATTCCTACTATGACACCAGACATCTCATCTCAGTCCCAATCAATTATGCCTTCCATCAATCAGTATGTGCCATCTGTGTGACTGTCTCACTAACAGTTTTCATTACCAACTCAACCATTATTAACATGTGATGATGACATATTATTATTATTATTTCAGAAGTCATTTTCAACCAGCTAACATGATTTTCTTTTTTTAAAACAAAAGTGTTCGTTACATTTTGTGATGATAGTTTCATAAGATGAATAAAGGTCATGACACTTCATATTTACAGTGTATCGAATATCTAACAGTTCTCTCTCTCTGTCTCTGTCTCAATGTATCAATTGATAAGAATCATGGTTAGACTTTGTGCATATAAAAATTTATTGATTGTGTAATCGTGTGTGTATGAGCTACATATAATCACAGTGATTGACTTATTTGCTTGAGATAGACAACAAAATCAAATAATAATTATAAGTATATGGTATCGTTTAATTGATTTGTTTTAGCTTTTGGTAAACCCTTGGCGTAGTTATGTAATCAGAACGCAGATGAGTAGTAATCACACGTTATTAGTATATTAGGAAGTGAGCCTGTTTTTAAAAGTTTGTCTTCTTTTTTCGTTAGTTAGTTTTGGTGTTCAGTTAATTGATTTCTCGGTGTGAGTAGTAATCAGATAAAAATGATTGCAAAACTTCTGAACACAAATAGCCAACTACGTAATGAATGACAAGACAGTGAAGTAAAATATTTCACTAGTTTCAAAATTCAATTTTCTTAAGTATTTTTTGTTGTTGTCCTGAATACTATGCAATCACATCCATGTTAAGTGCGTAAGATAATGAGTAGCTAATAAATTGGCCGACAATATACTGAGTCGAACTAAAATCACAGAAACAAGAGACAATCAAAATTACACTATATCAAAGGGGATGAATTTAAAGCCAAGGATTAGGTAAGCAAATAAAAGAGAATAAAGGCATCAAGTTACCAGGGTTGCAACAAAAGTCTGATAACTGCTTCTTTCCGAACACATAAATCGGGTTTAAGCCTTTGATGGAGATTACTTTGGTGAACTAGAGGAGAATTGAGTTTTCCTGTATACTGATAATTTTAAAGGATTTTGCGATTTCCATCTCATGATCCGTATCAAGGAGATGCCTGGTAATGTCACTTTTGTAGGCGTTTGTTCCCTTGAGACGTAGGCTTTGAGGTACATATTCAGAAAATTGGATGTGTGCCCTTTCTGCTCCCCTAATGTAACTTCTCCCGCGGATACACGTAAATTTGTATCTATCGACCTTTGACTGCACCAGAGAGCATGTTGTCGGATAGACAGGAACCAGCTACCATCTAAGTACTTACCTGATTTTGATAGGCAGTCTTAATGGCAGGCAGGTGAATTGCTAGGTTTTCTAGTGAAGGTAATGTTGAGTACTAATAAGATTGTCGCTAACCATTAGGAGCTTCTACTCGCTAGTATGTGAACTAGTTTTGCTGTGGGTCGGCACCACTTAGACAAACAGAAAGAAATGGAAGCTCGTTTCGTTCTCATGTGTAACTTTTCAAATCTGCACTCTGATAAACCCAATCAAGAATCAGATTCACAAGAGTGAGATTACGAAGTGAACATGCGATTTGCAAGACTGTCTTTTATGAATTCTATCTTTCATCAATCCTGACAATAATTAATACCATCGTCCACTGTCATCTATCAGTGAATGCCTACAAACCCAATCATGAATTCTTATTATTATTATTTCAGGTATTCCACTACACGTTGATCATTAATGAACAGATAATCACTATTCAATTGAATTTTAGACTTTCCCGTCGACTGATTGGACCGAAGTGCTCGGTCTCAGGTTGACATGTCGACTTTCTGTGCAGATGCTTCGACAATGTCTAGGCATGTAATTAGATAAAGCTTTGGGGTTGGAAACTGTGGGCACTGGGTTCAAGCCTCGCTGAGAACATCATCACTCACTCACTGGGGAATGCAGGTACATCTACTGACTGACGAGTGAGTCCCAGATAGGACGAAATGCGCGTTATCCTGGATTCCACTGCTAGTCGTCATCACCACTAATTAGAGAATCACTATCTTCATCCCACGCAAATTTCGTTTTTGAAAATAATTTACTCATACTTTACTTTGTATAAGTAGTATGAAATAACAACCAAAATACTATCCGTGTTTTGTTTAACATATAGGACACACTTGTCTTGTGTACAGTGAAACGATCGACTTCTTGAAACATGACTGATATGATGTCTATGCCTAAATATCACTTCTGTTTTGTTTTCCAGCTCTAAATGAAGCACTGAACAACCAGTCGTCCCCGATCCCTCCCAACGACATAGACAGTGTCAATAATTTAATTTTAAAAGATGTGAGTTATCTTTCCAACACTCAGTGTCCTGAGAATGACCATCAATCAAAAAAGAATACCTCTCATATTTTTGATACAAACAAGACATCACCATCTACTGGTGGTGAGGCGGTAGACAACGCAGACTCACCTGTCGTCTATCCGAAGAAAAGCGTCACTGAGAATACACAATTAGCCAAACTGATGAAGTATCTGCTACCACCACTATTTCCATATCCAAACGATTCAGAAACATTCAGTCCATCTGAATGGTCTTCAGTTAATCATCATATCATTTATAAAAGTTATCTTTTATGCACTTTGTGCTCAAAACAATATCCTGATTTAATTAAAGAGGATGTATCCTATCGTGGTCCTGTAAGTTCATGTTTCTTTGATAAATTCCTTTCGTCAAAATATCATATTTAATCTTATCTCTGTCGAGATTACTTTCAATTCCCCTCTGAAATAATAATAGTAATAATTATAAGATTTATAACTCAGGTAAATGATTCCATTTTGATTATGTTCTCTGAGCTGGTTGATTTAACTTCGAAGCTTTCGTTGTCCCTCCAGATGTAACACCTTCAATGCAGACTTCAATATGAAGTCAAATTATTTGATTTCTCCATGAATGATGATATAATTGTATCTCCTGACACCTTTCGCCGTGATTGATTGTTAACTTCCATCTTTTTTGATCATTTTTATTGACTTGGAATTTGAAATTTTTCGTTATGTGATTTATTCTTGATTAGTTGGAAAATTTCATCTATAGTTATGTTCAAGCATTTATTGGTTTTTGTAGGGATTTTGTTTGGAGGATTTCATCATGGTCTACGAGCTCACCTGCTGGATTTGAAACTCGGTGGGTGCTTTCTGATGAAGGATCCCAAGCTAGGACAAAACAGTTGTCCATTACTCCCAGCTGGTTTTCCAATGCTTCTCTAACTGATGTCAGCTATGGTAGTGTGTTGTCTGTTAATCGCTGATGCATCTTAGTTCCATACTTGTAGGAATTAATTCCCTGGTATTATCGCTGTTTTCTCTGTTTAAAATTTCTACACTTTGCCAATTAAACTAGAATCCATATTAATTAATCTACATGCATCGATGTGAAAGAATATATGTCGTGTCTTTTGACAATATTAACAAATTGAATGAACTGCGATAAACACTAAATTAGTCAAAGTGGGCATCCCATCCCATTCCATTCAGAGTCGAAGAACATAAATTAGCTATCAAAAGGCACGATATGTATTCTTCTTCTGTATTCATTCATTCACGTAGTCAGCTATGGAGATCAGTTTGATTCGGCAGAAAAAGTAGAAATTCTTGACGATGAAGACAGCGAGTATGCCAGGGAATTCCTCGAAGTCTGCCTGGTCTTGATGAGAAGAATCAGCAGTTAGTTAACAGGCACATTACTATGGATCGGATTTATCAACTAGTACGAAATAGGCCAGCTAACAGAAAAAGTCAAATTCCAAGTCAGTGAAAAATGATCAATAAAGACGTGAATTCACAGCCAATCACTAAATAGCTTGTCAGAAGATACAATGGTATCATCATTCATGGAGAACACATATCAGCTCACTTCATGTTGAAGTTGGCGCTGAAGACGTTATTTAAAAGGATAACGAAAGCTTCACAGTTAAATCATCAACCAGATTAGAGGACAATATCAAATTCGAATTCCCCATTGAATCATCTCTGTTGATATACTGGTTTTTATTACAAATACTTTCATGGTATATCCAAGTTAATGTGATGTTACTTTGTTGATGGTGGCTGACATCAGACAGAACCCAAGACACACAAGATTCGTTCTATTTGAAAAAGTCCACCAAGACATACTTCTATCCCAATGAATAATGCTATTCGTGGCTTAATAACTAAGTGGGTAACGTTTCAATGTTTGGAACAATGAGTATTGGATCCCCATATGTCAGTAGGAACACTGCCACTCACTTGGATACAGATAAATATTCGCAGATAGGATGGAACTGACGTCCCTAATCCCAGTGTTAGCTGCCAGCACCTATACAACATTACATGATTTCAGTAAGTGTCCAGTGAAGATTATTACTGAAACACCCAGAAGTAACCGTCAGTGCCACATAGTCATTAACACTCCTTATACGTACTCCGCTGTTCTCATTAGTGTATAATCTGTTTTTTTGTTTTGTTCATTCCAACAGGTTTTTGCATATTTACTAAATGATGCCCTACTATTAGTTGTCTCTGAAAAAGATGTCCTTGAAACTTGTCGACCATCCTGTTTAGCTTATGAACCCATACTCCTCGATTCGATTGCTTTTCAGGATTATGAAATATCAGGTTAGTAATATCTCATTTTGTCTTGTTTTCTGAACAACGATCCACTTTTAATAATGTGGTTTACGTTTTCGTAATTAGTACTGTAGTTAGCAAGAATAATTGGATTTTTAGGCGTGCGATTGATTAACGGTTCAAATTTCCCTTGCTCAATATAACTTCTCTGTCAAATCCAGTTATTTTCTGCCTGTATATGTATGGCTAAATAAGTTCATTTAAACAAACAAAAGACGCCAGCTAAATGTATGTTAAATTCGTTTGTATTCATGAAATCTGTCCTCCAATGTCACCCTTCTAAAGTCCAGTGGATAGCGCTTTCACATTTTTCTAAGGATAGTTGTTGAGTTTCAGTGTTGGTGGGTACATCGTTACTGTCGTGTTTCACACACGACTGAACGTGTATCATGAGTTCCACTGCCAGAGACCATGAGATAGGTAGTTTAACTTTTTTCAATTTAAATAATTTATAATGAATCAATCTGACTCGGCACTCAAGTCATTGCAGGAAGTTCGTAACACCTACGGCCTGGAAACCTATAATCTATGACTATTCAGTTTGTAAAACATGATCAAAATCATACTGTCTGATCTAAATATCTTGGTTGGTGCCAGTTGTAAATTTCCAAGAAAGACTGGGCTTTACTTCATCGAGACACAACTATGTTGATTTAGACAAAGAGGCACTCCTGTAGGGTAACACGCTGTCTTATTCTAATTTGCCAACCAGAATACTAAAATGTGGTGCTTGAGTGGAATTCACCTATCCACCGAGAGGCATTTATTTATACTGAGCAGCAGTTCGCTCTATCCTACTTTATGAACAGGAAATGTGATTGTCAATCAAAAGACTGTGAAGACATTACTAACTCTAACTACAGCAGGTGTCTATGTTCATATGAACATCTTGAGGTTAGATGTAAAAAGTGGAAGTCAGGCTATGCGGTTATGCGTCAGTTGGGATAGTTAGGAAACGTTTTATCCACAGTGGGACACAGCCGTCCTCCAAAAATGTTAGCTAAATTAGGAGGATTATGATGCGAAGAATGAATATATGTGATTGACGCAGAGGTTGTATGACTTCCCCCTGAAGTCGGTGGCGGACAGTTCAATAGGCCTAGCAAGAGTTCTCAGGCGACTAAGAAACATTGGTTGATGAATCTTGATGAAGTAAGTGGAATTGGTTCACGCTGACATACACACACATTGACAAACGTTTTCAAAACTCTTCATTAAGTTTCACTATTTTTCCATAAGTACGCAACATTCCCTTCAAAAAACAAAGTGGATTAACCAGCTTATAACGATTTTTCTTTCCAATTTTCACTTCATTTCAGCTTTATCATTTATGCTAAAACTTAAAAATGGCACAACATTTCAATTCGATTGTACAACATTTGAAATTAAACTAGTTTGGAAGACTCTTATTGAACAACAGATGACAACCAAATAACTGATCTATTAAAACTCCTAGACTCCTAGACTTATTTTATTCCACATTGACAACTTCATGTGAAACTGTTCAGTTCAATTCCTTCAAATCTCTCTCCCTTTGTTGATGTATAGATATTTTGAATTTGATGCTTTTATTTTTTTATATTTCATAATTATACTACGTGTAAGTTATAGTAGGCAAGTTTCAATCCGCGCTTTCTTTCCAATGGTATTTTGAGTAAAAAAAAGAAATTCTTGCTTTTTCAATCTATTTCTACTGTTCTAATTACAATTAGTGAATACTTCAGTTTTAATCAACTCCAGTGTGATTTAAATCCTATTTTATTATGTGAAGAAGATATATAATACTATCAGGGTGGAGAAAACTCCTTTAACTTTATTTCGTTAACGTGTAGTGCACGACGAGAACTCCTGTGTAACCTAGTCACTCTTCTCAATAGTACTCAATTCCAGTAGAGCTTTAATATAATGTGCATTGATGACATTTGAGGGGATATTTTGCATGTCAGTCGATTTGTCATTCCTATCATCTTACCGCTTTCACGTATGTGTGTGTTGTACATGCACACATCTTTGTGAATTCACGTATATTAGAGAATTTCCAACAACCTCTTTTTATTCCTCATTTATTTTCAAAGATTTTCTATTTATTAGCGAAGAGGACATCTTACTACTGCAATTTCTCACTTTAATTTCTCTTTTCATTGACAATTAAATATTATTGAATAAAACGTATTTTACTACTTCTATGATTCTTCCTACCCGTTGTGAGGGGACGTATGGCTTATTATTGGCTTAATACTGGACTTTCCAGGCACTAGGTGCTCCGTTCTAACTCCACCATGCCTACGTGTAAGTTCGAACAACTGGGTAACCAGTGAGAATGCATACTTATGTTTATGCATTGACTTAGTATCCGTTAACCCCCTATTCAGTAGATGGTGTCTTTGAGTGACGCTTAACCAGTTTTCATAAACTCAAAATTCTTCTATAGTTTCGTTTGTAAGGATTAGTTATGTTTCACGAGTTGATCACGGACTGATATCAGTTAGAGAACCATTGAAAACCAGGCAGTACTGGACAGCTGCTGTGTCATCCTAGTTAGGATGAAACAGCAGCTGTCAAGTACTCCATGGTTTTCAATGGTTCTCTAACTCATCAGTCCGTGATCAACTCGTCAAAATTCTTCACTGACCGCTCAAACAGCAGCAGTGTTGAAGGAAAAGAAGAATGGGTCACATGGAAGTATGCCAAGGAGACCAATATATATGAATAGAAGGAATATGAACATAAATTTTGGGGAGAGCGATCATTCATCTTATCTGACTGTGAGACTGTCCGTGTTAACCAACATACAAGAAGCTCAGACATCTCATCGAAGGCTGTTTCCTATAACTTTTGGAGGCTAACCAGTAGTTTATTTAGCTAGTCCAATTGAATACATACTCGTCTCAGGTCTAGCTGAATTTTCGTCCAACTGAGGTACTCCACAAACTCAGCGCCTAGTCCAAGATGCAGCAAAAATCTAGGATTAACACTGCAAGTGTCGGTGAGTTATTCCTTCTGAAAAACCAACCAAAACCCGGAAA